CATATTCTAGATACATCATGCTGCTGACTGTCCAAGTACTAGGGAGTTGGAACAGATCGTACTGGTGATGAAAAGGGGGGCAAAAAGCTCTGAACGCAATAGACTATGACACTATGCCATCATACTGAAAATGGGAAGCACAAGAAACGCTGTAAGCAGGGCTCCTCCATATCCAGGATACTCCTAAATAAGGACCTTGGAGATAGCAAGAGATAGTGGAGACAGAAAGTCTAACACCCTTCTGCTACCCCCCACACCTTACATAGTACGATATTTGAACACGAAACCCGAAGGAAGACACACAGTACTAACCATATGAGAATATGGGTTTAAATCATTATGGGCGTACACTTCTTATTTCCACACTGAAATAATGAAGGTTATTCTATTCTGAGAACCTTCTAACACATTGTTAGTAACTTTGTATTTCCTATTTTACTTTGCAAGGGAAAAACGCAGTAAATGGGTGCTAAGTAAAATACATGCTATAAACAGTTCATTGCCTAAATTACTATGCTATTTTCAATGATTTCCTCGTATTACAAACATTGGTCTCTTCATATCTGTTTTTCTTTTCAGACCAGGCGCTAACAAGAGGCCAAGAGATGAAGTTGATAGGGGTGTTGTTTTGCAATTTTTTTGATAAAGTGCTGAAAATCCAAAATAGTAGCAACGTGTAAATAAACCGTTTAACAATTTTACAGATGTATTTTCCATGCTCATTTAATCTCTGTTCTTGAGAAAAGAAACAAGCGACATCATAAAGTTTGTGGGTCCCTCTAAGCTCTGTTTTCACTCACATAGCTACTGCAATTCTTTTACTTCATAAATTTTCATTCTCAAAATGACATCACTGTAACCCTAGATTGCCAGCTGATATATCACGTGACAGATCTGCCCTGCTTTTCTCTTAAGTCAGTATCTTTCATTTGCTCAGTATCAAACACTCCATTAGTATTAGTCGAACATACTAATTCTGAACCTGATGTCTTCAATCTTATTTTACTCAGTTGAAAGCCACCTAGTTACATCACAGGTTACCAGTTAAAAGGACTAAGACCACTACAGAAATTACATCTGCAGTGATTTTTAGAGGTCTGATCTGGAGAGAGAGCTTCTGTCACATGGTTAAAACAACAAATCAAAAAGCTAAAGAAAAAAATAAGTCCACAAGCTTCAGGCTCTCTTACTACTTTGTAACTGCCAGTCATGAAGAAATTACAAGTTAAGCTCTCCAGCTTCTTTCTGATGCCCACCCTTATCTAAGCCCCAGCACGACAAATCAGCCAGGGTCCGAACATTACTCCGGCACATCCCTCCAAGGTCACATGCACATGTCTGGAAACGTCAGGGCTTCAGCAGCTTTTCTAGTTGATATTTCATAGTACGTTCACAGCAGAAATGAAAAGCATGCTGGAATTGCTGCCGTTATGTACTAAGATCACTTACCTTTCGAGCAACAGAGCTGAGGGTGGGAAGCTGATCCCTTCCGGAGGTCAGTCCACGTTCCTGTTGCAGCACCCAGCAGCTGCTGCCGTCGCTTCTCGGTCCACCCTGCTTACTCGGTAAATACTTGAAGAGCAGGAGATAACAGGCGTGGAAAAAGAGGGAAACACTACGTGCAGGGCAAGTCTCTGCTTTGTGTAAGGGGAAGCAATTCTCAAAAGCCTATATCTGTTGTGTGCAGGGCACAGGAGTTTCCTTCACAAATTTTTTCCAAAGGGGCAACTTTGAATGCATTTATATCAGGACAAAACCAAGAAAAGTTATATTTAGCATTATGCTGTGATACTGAGAAATCTGGAACCCTCTCTGACATTGAGTTTCACGGAAGTTGTAGGCACTGTCTTCTGTTTAAGGGTCTTTTCAGTCAACTGCTTTAAAGCAGACTAGCCATAACAGCATTGCACTGGCAAGGTGGCAGATCTGCTACCCTCCACCAGTAAAAACAGCTCTGGTACAACTGAGAGGGGTTTTTTGTTGTTTTTGGATAGCTATTCCTTCAACTATATACATACATTATCTCCCTAAAATAATACTGCTATATCCTAGCAATCCAGATTGTTCTGTACTGTAAGGTGTATTTCAATAGTGCGTCACAAAACAATCTGCCCTCCCATCTTCAGTGGCACTGTTCACTTCGCCTCCCTCCATGGTTATGAATTCATGGCAATGACTCATGACTAAGGACATACATCAGGAAAGCATTAAATACCTTTTGAACCATCTTTTAACAAACGTGGCAGCTGTAAACAGGGAGAAGGCAGTTCCTCACAGAAAACAGGCAATTGCTCCACAGTCACACAGTGGGCCATTTCTAGGTACCTTTATGCCAGGCACTCGGGAAATGAGAGAACAGGATATGAGTTATCATGAATAGACCAACTCCCACAGTACCTTTTTTCAAATTCTGTCTCTGCCCACTGTTATCTAATATAAAAAAATCAGAAGAGACATTACTCAGCGCAGATAAGGGCATCAGAATCTGACCTCCACCTATGTCACCCTTGCAATGAACAAAGGTGAAACGCCATCACGGACGCCAGGAACTTGCATTGATGGGGCAGAATTAGTTGTTTAAGTGAAGCCAGAACACATGTTTAGCAGAGGCTTCAGGATTCAGTTGGCGTATTTTATAGAATGGCATGTTCATTTATAAAACTACCTAATAAATCACTGGTTTGTTTGTCCGGGTACTTCTTTCACTGTCCAGGGTTCATTTGTCAACTTACGCTCAGTTTTTTCACACTGTCGGTTTACATCAAAATCCTCTATGTTGCAATATGGAATTTGTTTTAAAAAAATCAGTTGAAAAGAACAGATGCGGATCTAAATGTTTAAAAGTTTTCTAAATACTGACAGCATTTAGTTAAGAGCACACAATTGTGATAGCAAAGTTCTGATTTCCAAGATCTACAACTAAAGCCCCAAATCCATGCATATAGGCTTGCCATACTGCCAAACAATCACGAAAAGCACAACAATTAAACTCAAAAGCCTTATTAAAACATGACCTGACACATGCAAGGTACACTAACACAGCTCCTGTGTTCCTCTCAAGCATTTTGGAAAGCAATATATTACCTAAAGAAGAACCTAAAACTCGCTAAATATACATGGAATGGAAAAAGAATTAAAATCTGAAGTTCTCAATAGTATTTTTATTTTATTTCACTTCAGGTCTCAACTAGCACTTATTTTGCAACCAGTGACTGGTTTATAACAGTATAATGAATATATGACTTTTCTGCACTCGAGTAAAACATAATTTAATTATTAATAAACTGTATGCATTACTAGCTGGATTGCCATACCATTTAGGGGTTAAGCTTGATGGTATTTTTGCAATATGCACTGATCAAACATTATGTCATGATGGAGAAACACTGTTTATTTTAGAGGAGGAGAAGGGACGGGAACTATATTTTTTTTAACATAAGTTCTTTTACTGATGTCATCTAAGATAATTCAAACTGGAAGGTTTACGCATATAATATAGCATTATTACAGCAATAGAAGATTCTAAAATAATGTTAATTTTGCAAAATAAATGAAAATTAGTTTAATACTCCTATTGCTGATAAATTACGTTCTATTAAGCAAATTAAAAAGCTGTGGTGGACACGGTTGGAAAGTTAAGAAAAATCTTGGTATCATAAAGTGTTATTGAAAACCTTTTTTTTTCTCTCCTCCAAAACAAAATCTCCCTTTTATCTGTAAGAGATACTGTTCTAACTGTGTGACAGCTATACTCTCCCATGAACTCCCGAATTCCTGACAAGCCGCTACCATCATTCATTCAAGTCATACACGAATGATCATCTGAGAAATCATTCAGAATCTGAATAAAAGATGAGGATCTACCAGGTCATTAAGTTATATTATATTTACAGGGAAAGATATACACGAAAGAAAGAAAAACAAAACACTTAATGCACATGAAAAAAAAGTCATTATCTCCCAGCCTAGCAGGACAAGACTCTATCTCTGAATCAAGGCAGCACTGTAGAACCCCAAATAAAAATACATTCCAAAAGGTTATTCTTATGTACCTTAAAATATGTTAGAAACCAGAACAGCAGGGAAAAGAACTAACAGCTTGAACAGACGTGGAAGAGCATTTGCTCTTAAAGTGATTAGCTACTATATATATTTATATATGAAATATTGACATATCCCACTAAGGCAAAGTTAAGGTGTTCTGTTCTGTTTCATGTAAGTCAGGAGGAGAAGTAAAAAGAGCCTCAGACAATAACTAAAGTGCAAGAAGTTGCTTCTGAGTTCATTCTCAGGTGCACAGCTACATAAGATGCCTTCTGCATTTGGATCTAATAAAATGCAACTCACAGGTCCTATTCAAAATTGATCTATGCTTGCAAAACTTGTCCTTTATTACATTAGAATGAGATACACAATTCCTATGTAAATAACATTTATCTGTGAAAAAAATACCAGTACGATTTAAAAGACAGAAAAGGGATTTTTATTCTGATAGAAAACAACACCAAAGGGAACAATTCAAAGGAACCCACAGGTAGAACAAAGGGTAAGCTGTATTGACAAAACATGGACACAAGATTTAAAAAACAAACAAACAAAAACTTATACAACCGCTTTCATTGTGTTTCCAAATGGGTAGAGTACTCTCTGAAAAAAACCCATCTGTTCCCTTCATCGCTGCATTTAGCTGCAGCAAAATGCACTTAAGAGTGGATACAGAAACACGTGGTGACATTCACATAACCTCGCTCAGAACATTCTGTTTCGAGTGCACAAGCTCCGGCCGAAGGAAAGTTCAAGGCAAATAAATATGAACACGGGTTCTGTTTCCCCCACCAACCCCCCCCTTCAAATTGCATCCTCTGTGTAATGGTTTGTACCTACAAATAAGGCATAGTGGTTCAAGTACTACATTAAATGTAATCGAACAGCAGAGAAAAAAAAACACACTCTTTCCAAAAATGTACTTTATTAGGGAGGGTAAAAAGCGTTGTTCAGACAGTCCGAATAGGCATGGCCTTCTGTGCTGTCGGCTTCCTCAGGCTCAGAGTCCTCTGGATCTGGTGGCAACTGGTCGGTATCTTCATCAGACGTTGACGGACGCGTGAGGATTATTCGAGGTATCTTCAGGGAGATGTGGAAGATTGCAGAGAAGAGAGTGAGGTCAAGTGTATGAAAGAAATATTTTAAAGGTACAGAGAAAGGAGGTTATGAGCAAAAACACGCAATGCATGTAACACAGAAGAGCCTTCTGACAGGTGAACTGTTCTATCACAGAAATTGTACTGCTAATTAAAGCAAAATTGAGACAAACTGCATTCTCTCTCATTAGCTATTTTCTTTAAAACTTACTTAGGAAAAGAATATAAAGAAGATGCTTAGAAAAATAAAGACAAGTAAATATGAAAACTACACCAGTGCTTTTATTTAACTTCATTATTTACAAAAATCCGTGCACTTTAAAGCAACAAAAATTAATTAAGGACCATGAAATTTCATCACATAACAAAGAAAGTACAAATGGCATTCAGGATAGCATATTAATTATTTGGTTTTGAAAGTGATATATGTTAGCCTTGTTATTGTCTAACTATTTTTAAAGGAAACATTAAGAAAAAAGATCAATGTGTCAATTCATTAGTTTAATAAATATTCCTGCATGGAGTTGATTAATGCTATCAATTTATTGGTCAAGAATTTTGTGTTCTTCGACAATTATGTTGTAGTGTTTTTAAATTAATACCAAGCTGCAAATGATAAAAGAACAGAATGTCAGATTCTTGACATATAGTAAAATAATGCATGGGTAAGGGTTTGCATTAATCAATGGTATATTACAAATTTAACTCTGATGCATAAGTCCTACCTTTTACCAATATTCTCAAAGCTTACGACATAACAATAACAGATAAAATAGTAAGTTGATACATTTAACAGGCATATAATAATGTGTAACCAAATAATCCATTTTCCTAGCAGTCTGAAAATTTTAAGTAGAATTTCTTACGTATCAGAGTTAATGTTATTCTGTTGTACTTCTTCAACTTTATATTATTTATATTTTAAATTAATTGTTTATATTATTATTTCCTTGCTGTAAGTTATTTGATTTTGGAAGTGACCCAAGCGCAGTGATGTTTCATGGCTGTTCCGCTAGCCAGCCACCAGGCTTCTACATTGAAGTATTCGCCAGGCTGCCCACACAAAATTAGCTAAAACTGCACAGACTGTAACGGGAGCCTAAACCCTAGTTCTCAGGTGGGCACGCTCCACTCAGACACCGGCATGTCAGTCTGGAGCTGAATCTCACCCACAATAACTGTAAACTGTTTTAAAACTAGGAATGTTTTTTTTTTTAAGTTACGTCCCCAGGAGTAGCAAACTCCCAATTATATCTTTTTTTTTCTTTATTTTTTTCTTTTCTTTAGACTAATAAGGATACATTACTGGAAGCTTTAAATAAGCTACACAGGTTGGAAGTACTAGCCAAGCTAATAACTCCTGGGAAGATGTGCTTCTGCCATGCACGCCTGACAACATTTATATGCTCTTCACACGTCAGATCTTCTTCTTAACTCCGTTTATTGCTAAAAGAAGCCCCTTTCTTAAACTGTAGCCAGCAGATGGATGCTTCGTAATGCAGCAAATGCACACCCAGTAGGTAGCGCTGGTTGTAATGGGCCACATTTTGAAATTCTACCACCTGAAAAGCTAGACCTAAGGTCTCTGCCCTACCAGAAGTTACTTGCAAAAATAACCAGACCAAGTTCCGCATTTCATTGAGCTCTCTGCAAAGCTCAAGGAAGATCTTTCGTTGTGTACTGCTCCACTTGAGATCAGATATGCCCACATTTCCCCAAGACCAGAAGTGTATTTCATTAGAAATTCTGAAGGAAGACTCACTGGTGCTGCTTCTTCTTTTTGAAGAGTGGCCTTTAGCCACTTTGATTGTCAGTTATTGAAATACTCTCTACCAGCATGGTTTCTACTCCCCAGCAATCCCACTTGCAAGGAATCAAATCTAATTTTCTAATAGAGCTTTTATTTAAACATTTCATTACTTCTGAAACCAGCTTCTCACATATTACCTTTCAAATATTACGATGGGACAAGATCTCGCAATCACAAAGTGAATTCAATCTACTTAAATTAATAAAGAAACCTAAAGAAAAAAAATCTGGCTGTCAGTAAGGGATAACCGTAAAAATTCAAATTAACAACATGAAGTTCTTGTGGGTTACTCCACACAGATGCATGGGCACACACTATGCTGATGCACAAAGGTCCTTTAGAAACTTTTAAAATCTTTTTAGGTACTCTAAAATATTCCTCGTTTCAGGGATCACCATTCATTTCAGGTATCACACAAAATGAGTCTTTTCTTTTTTTTAATTATCTACATCTCAAAGAAACATAAATCTGAGACTGTACAAATACTGACGCTAGAGGAATGAACCCCACAACCTGTTCAGTTCGGACAGGAGCAGCCTTTTGCATCTCTCCCTATGTTTGTTCAGCACGCTGCAAGCTGCACTTAAGCTTTCACAACTTCCCTGAAAACGTACCTCATTTCCCTGCAGACACTCGCTGTCTGCAACGCCCCGGGTGGGAAGGAGCAGCTCATTTAGTCTCCGCTCGCAGAGCGCCTGCCCTCCTGCTCGCCCTTGCACAACATTTCTATGGTAACTGCATCAACTGCTTTTATGAAATAAGCAGCACTGGCGAAGTCTTTCATTCGCATTATCTGATCTTTCATGCTGCTGCAGATGAAGAGAGACCAGCACCATATGAACAATCTACCTTCTGTAACCCAGAATGAATAGCTTCCCAGCCCAAAAGTGCTCCAAAAACTGAAAATCTACACTCCCAAGAGGAGACAATGCTCTCGGCTCTAACCTGCTGTAACTCCTCCATACTGTTCCCAGCAGACGAAGCTCTCCCACTCACGCTGTGTGGAGGCACGCTGCTGAGTTTCTGTAACAAGCCAGATTTTTCTAGTCCAAGTGCGGCCCTCTCCTCCCACCCCTCTGCTCTCTGCACATCTCCTTGACATCTCCCTGCCTAAAGCCCCAGGCTAACCCACACCGTCGCTGTCCCGAACCCTTTGCTCCTCTTCCCACAGAGAGCAGTTCTGTCAACTGCTGCACGCTGTGCCGGGCTCCTCGGCGGGATTTGGAGGAGCACGCTCTCCTTGAGCCCTGGCTGCCTCACGGCTGAGTCATAGGTGCTATCGACGTTGACAGCTCTTGGTTTTGGATTGGGCCACCTATGCAATTGCAAGTTGAGAGCAAACCCAGTTAAGAAACAGTCTGCATTTGTCCAAGATCTATTACAGGGAAAGGAGACTCAGGCCTCTACTTCTCTACTCTAGCGTAGAAAGTTATAGATTATCTTGTTAAAAAAAAAAAAAAAGGGGCGGGGGGGGATGTAAGAAACGCACACATCCTAGTTCTAACCACAGCAGCCTTTCCGTATTCACCAAACTGTCCATAAGCGATCCAGTACTCTCCGTCACTGGCTTCAAATCGGCCTTGGTTACAAGTAAATCAGTATCTAGGTTTTGCCAACTTTCTTTCATGTTCCTTTTTTTTTTTTCCTTCTAAACAAGAAACCTTAACAACTCGGAATTTGCACTGTATTCTTCTGCCTATTGTTCAAACCTTTTCTCATACCTACCACTTCTTTACCCAGAATCCCAGTAGGACTCTCTTTTATCCTTGCTTTCTGATTTTTATGTTTATCTTTATTGACAACAGCTTTTTAATAGGTAAGTATTGCTTTTGGAGCTTTTTTCAGTATGCATATTTGAATATACACGGCTCACATAACAAAAGGTCACAGCAAAGAGGAAGTAAACTATTCTCACTGCCCATTATGGGCAGGGCAAGAAAGAGACACTTAGGATGGAAATAAGGAAAATCTTTCCAACACATTAGTTGAGCTTTAGAATAGTGCCCCTAAGAAAGGTCCTGGATATCTTCTACCAATAACTTTTTAGAAAAGTTGACCTTAGTGTAGGAGGACAGATTATCTAGGACTCTGTGTTGCTTCATGCCATTGCTTTACTCCACTAGTTTTACTGAACAGTGTCTAAACTTGTTTAAAATACTCTGTTGAAATTCCGAAGTCCTCCTACTCACTTTCCATCATCACGAACTCTTTACTAAAGTAACACCTGAAGCCTCAGTCAATACAAAGCCACCAAAATTTGCAAAATATTTTTTTCAAAATATATTTTCAATGCCTAAAAAGTAAACTTTACAAAGGACATGTCCTGCACCAAAACCCAGTGTATTTAGTACCAGAATTTATTTTATTACCCTGTTTGCTTATTTCTTATGTTTTATCAACATAAACACTAAGACTTCAAACAGTAAAGAGAAATCAATTTCATTTCTGTTTATAACTGGGCGTAGCTATAAATCAGATGATTTTAGACCCTCTCATTTTATGGAGTTATCACTCTCCATTGAAAGCTGGAGTCCTTCAACTGAAACACAGCCAAGGGCTGTGTGTGCGCTCCTAGCCCGCTGCAATAGGAAGCAAAACAAACCAGGCTAAATAATCTGAGGCACAGATTGAAATGGGATGGGAACAAACACATAACCAGATATGATGCTTCAATTGAAAAGGAATATCTTGTTAAAACACGGTAATTGAAATGACCTGCAAACATGTTAGCATCTGCTTAATTTTTAACTTCCAACTGTACACGTACGTTTTCCTTTTCCATTTCTAATTAAATGTTTGTCCAAAATGTTGCAGAACAGTCCATAAATCAGAGTTCATTGTCATTTTATAATCTTTAACAAACAAAAGAGAATAAAGCCCCTCATCTTCGCTCTCTTTTATCAGCTTGCTTTCCCTGACCTCCCCCTTCAGATTTCCATACTCCAGTCCTAGCAGAACGAGAAAGCTATAAAAACAAGGGTCACGGCCAAAACACAAGCCTCACATAAAAGACTTAATCAGCAGTGATATGTCAAAGGAAAGCAGAGGGCCCAGCCAGCCTTCGGGGAGACGGACTACAAATTGCAAAGTGATAGGTCACACGAAGGGCCTACATTTGAAAGAACAAGGGCAGGCAAAAGGGATTTGGAAGAAAAACAGACATACGTTTAACC